ATCAGAGAACTACTCCAGAATTTATTGGAGCATATGGCAGTGCTATATTAAAGGTAATTCATATTACAGAATTAAATTTAATTTATAATTTTTAAATTTTTATCACTTAAACTTATATAAATTTCCAATAAAATAGGTTTTATATTCGTATGAAGGTATGTTAAAGAAGTCTTTATGGTATTTTAATCGATTAATTATGAAATAATTAATGTATTATAACAAATATTCAGGATGGAACCATCTAAGTTGTAAGTAAATTTCATTATTATTAATTTAAAATTCTTATACAGTATAATAAAAAAATTAAGCCCATTAATTGTTTTTAAAAAATAGATACATCTGATGAATTAAAAATTGAAGGCCAATACCGACAATATTCGGCACTCATTAGTACTGTCTTAACATTTATTCTTTGTAAGTTATCCCATTTATTATTATCTTTTTTATATTATTTCAAATATTAATACAGAAAATTTATTATATAGATTTCCTTATAAATGCTGCTTTTATAACAATAATCGATCCGAAAACTGTAGCTAATCCAAACCTTGCTAATGAAAGTATTGCTATTGATTTTGGAATAAAATTATATGGTGAAAATGGAAGAAAACTTATTTCATCTCTTATCGTAATTTCTTCTATCGGATCTTTGGAATCAATGGTCTTGTTGTATGTTTATTCAAATTTTTATATTTAAAATATGATAAAATAATTTAAGTTAATTCTTATTAATCTTATTATAAATTTAATAGGAGTCAAATAAGTTTTAATGAATTTAAAAATATACCTAAAATACATAATATTTTATTTTCTGAAGATACAAGAAATATAAAACCATATCGTAATTTATTTGCTCAATTTATTTATTGTTCAATTTTAATTATTATTTTTCCGGCTATAAATATCTTTACATTTTTTTCTGAAATGTCTGAGTACTTGGTCATGCTATTTTATGGTATTAGCGCTGGTTATTTATTCGTAAGTCAAATTAACGTTTTCTTATTTACTTTACTATAATGCTTCAATTTAATTAATTTATTTCTGTATCTACATTAGTATCATTTGATAAAACATTCTCTAAAAGCTGAAGAATCCAAAAAAGTTAAAGACGTTGAAAATGTTAAAACATCTGAAAAGCCTGAAAAGCATGAAGAAATAATACCAGATAAAAGCATAGAGACGAAGGAAGATTATATTCCCGCTGCAGTCTACTTCTTTGTTTTCGGAGTTTTCATTTTATGCACAATCTTTATTGCCTTTACTTCATTATTCCCTGTTCCAAATAGTGAATATGTTATCATGAAATATCCTTATTTTTTACCACATCTTATATCATTAATAACTATTTTCGTAGCTGGGATTCTTAAATATTATGAAATCATTTGATAAATAATTGGGATTTTAATAAAATTCAAATTTAAAATTTCGTTTTTTTTTTTAATGTTCATATCGAACTTTAAAACATCTTAAATGCCAATAACTGATCATTGAATTAAAAGTGAACTTACCGATATACGGCATTCAATCATGATTTTTTAAAAAGGTAAACTTGTACAAAGTTTAAATATTTTTCAAGTCAAGTGACCTGATAAAATTTTTAAGGAATCGCTGATCGTGTTACATTACACCTAATCATGAGAACCGTCCGTTTAAAATATATCATTGCAGTATGTATTTGAGGTTTACAGCTGTTTCATTATTTTTTGGGACATCTGGTAAAAAAATTGACCGAATGATTTTTTGCCGATTCGATAAGTTTTGATTCGGCAGTGATAAACTTTGATTTGAGTGTAATTCAGTAATTAGTAATACTGTATAATGATAATTATATATAAATTAAGTTTACACTTGAACCTATGTCCAGTATGCTTGGTATGTTGTTCTTGCCAACTAACATATCTTGACAAAAAAATATAAAAAAGGTTTAGAATATAAGACAAGCTTTCAAATAAATACACGAGCAGGCGTTAATGAAAAAAGTTCAATATGAACAAGAATTGATTACTGGTTTATATAACGCGAGTTATTATTTTAAACTACTAAGATTATATTATTCTTTGTCGAAATCGTGTTAAGAATTATAATCAACAAAATCAGAATAATATTTTATTTAAAAGTTTTAATATATAATGATTATTACAAAGTATAAGTCAAAAAGAAAACTAGCACAAATCAGATGAGAGCATTGAAGCAATGGATTTGACGATTAAAAATCCTTTAGCTTATTCGTATATGTTAAATATTATAAAGACGCATGTCTGAAATAACCGCAGTTAATGAGTTAATATGAAATATGAGTGCTGCATTGTAAGTGTTATATTTAGTGCCGCCAAGGAAAAACCTGTCATCGGATTTTCAAATATAATTTGTATTGGATACAAATTATACTGACTGTGACTGATACAAAATATAATTGAAAGCCCGATGACAAGTTTTCCCTTGACGACACTCAAATATTTGATAAACACTAATTCTGTAATTACGTATTGTCATTTAGCAAAGATATATACATTATTACATAATCGATCATTACCGAAATCAAAAACTTATCGAATCGGCAAAAAATCATTCGGTCAATTTTCTACCAGATGTCCCAAAAATACAGAAATAATGAAAACAGCTGTAAAACCGGTTTAATTCTTGAAGTTGAATTGTACGAACCGGTTCCGACCTATTTTACATTATACAACTTAAGCACGAGGTTTTTTTTTTGCTACTACACTATATGTACCTTATGAATCAAAATTAACCACCATAAACTTCTGACCAGTGTATCCGGATAGTTACGACGTACATTTAGAAATTACTTTTAAAAAGTTTTTTTTTATAATATCTATCACTATAATATACTAATTTCCCGTTCCTGGTTTTGCGCAACCGTATTGCGCAGCTACTTATTATTTAAAATAATTTGGTACATGAAATATAAAAATTCAGAAAAAAAAGCTTTAAATATCAAAAGATTCTACCAACTTATTTATAGGATTTTTGTCGGAACAATCAAGCTCTTCTATATATTGATAGCCTAATTCTAGAAGATTAGGAATACTATCATGGTCATCTAATTTTATAGGTTCTTCAAAAAAGACTTGCCATCGTTGATACCGATTTTTTAACTGATTGTACATTTCATGATCCGTGTTACCTTCTTGTGCAGATATCATCATGTTAGGAAGATTTTGTGCCCAAAAAAGTAGATTTCTATATCGATCAGGATTTGAAGGATCTGGTAAATAACATCCTGTACCTAGAGAGAGCATAGAAATCTTTCCCTCTGGTACTTTATATCGGATAGCTTCATTATAAGCAGTTGATGCTGGGTTATTAAGAAGTATTCCTCCATCTATAAAAGTCTTATTACCGATTTTATAAGGTGGAAAAAACGTAGGTGCGGCCGTTGTTGCCATTAATATGTTATAAAGGTAAGTTTCATTTGCACCGACATTCTTGCTATTTTTACAAGCATCGTAGCGGGTAAATAAATGTGGCATTATCGAACAACTTTCATTTGCAGCAGGAATAACCAACTCAGTAAGAGAATGACTTAATCTTGTTTCGTTAAAAAATTTTTTAAACAAAGTTAAACGACCCTCATTTGTATACTTATCGTGTAAATTTGACCATATAGGTACCCAGAACCTTGATGTTGATTTAGTAAATAATTTTTTTGATTCATTCTTGTAGATGTTCAATAATTCCGAAGCTGAAAATCTTGGGTTTATATTTGAATATTTGTATTCATTATGATCACTTGTCTTGTCTATAGGTTTGAATTGTGGTGCCGATAATCCAGCAGCAATGATCCCACCAGTCGATGTTCCAGCTATCATATTAAATAGGTGAGAAATGGGTCTATGAGTTCGATATTCTATCTCGCTAAGCCATAAAGCAGGCAATACTCCACGTATTCCTCCACCATCAATAGATAAAATATTGTAGACAGAACGATCATTACTATGAGAATTTTTTAAATAATCTATTTCGTATATTAATTCCTTTTTATAGCATTCAATGTGATGTTCAACTATATTATTTATATTTAAAAATTTTTTAATAAGTTCTCTATGTTTAACAGCCGAATGATTTTCAGGATCTAAATTTAGTGCCTCAGAATTACACATCATAGCATCTTGATACTTTTTTTGCTTAAAATAAGCTGCGCTACGTAAATGCCAGTATTCTGATAAAGAATTTAATACTGGACATTTATCAGAAAGCTTGATGACTTGAGTATATTTGGATAATTTTAATAAGCATCTTGCATATCCAAGGGAATAAATCGGATTATCAGGGTCTATTCCACGTGCAATATCATAGTTTTCTTGAGCAGATTGCCAATGGCGTAAACTGTTTAACTTATTAATTTTAGCTTCTTTTTCAGCCAAGTACTCAAAATAAGCCGCTTTATGATGATGATTTTTATCTTGATTGAAAGACAGTTGATTATTTAAGTAATTAATATATTTATCGTCCAATTCCGAATCTAACTTTGTTTCAACGGGAAATGTAATAAAAAGAGATGTATCAGATAGATCAACACCACTAATTATCCACAAGAAATCCTCCAAAACTTCTAAACGTAATTTAGCTTTGCTAATAAATTGATAATTTTCTCTTACAGATTTTCGAACTTCTTCAACAGTTTTTATTGCAATTGCATATGCGTCCTCATCATGTTCTATTATATTAAGAATTGCAATATTGATCCTTGCAATATTACGTATTTCTTCCAGTCTTGATAAAAAGGGCATTTCCAGAGAGTCTTGTAGGTATTCTAGAGCCAATCTCGTACGTTCTTTCGATAACATAGAATCTTTAAGTTTGCCGTAAGCACTTTTAAAGTATCTTTCATAGCTCCCTTGACTGGTTTTTCGCAATTCGCTGGTACATTTATCTAGTTCTTTTGCCTCTTTCACAAGTTCGTCACTCAATGCCAGTTGAAAAGTTTTTTTTGCATCGGCTTTCAAAACTGAATGTGTGACACCTGTTATTTTTATTTTTTTACTACCTAAAACTTCCCCAAGCACAACAAGTAGATATGCAATACCATCTGACCTGAAACCATGCGTTTTAAGCGTATCTACTATTTTATCGATTCCTATAATGCCGATATCATCGCAACAATTTAAGAGGCGCTTGTTATTCATGTTATCATATACCTCAGAAAGAGCACTGATAAACTTTTGATAATTTTTATCATCATA